AATCGCATCTCATCTCAACTCAACTGTTCCCTGTCTAAATACAGTTCAATACCAGTGAACTTCAGAGAGAAGTCTCCCAACTCACCATCAAGTGGTTTCCAATCGCCGAAACTCTCCATCATCACGATGGAATAGCACAACCTCTCCCCGATACGTTCTATCATCACGATGGAATGGCACAACCTCTCCCCGAAACTCTCCATCATCACGATGGAATAGCACAACCTCTCCCCGAAACTCTCCATCATCACGATGGAATGGCACAACCTCTCCCCGAAACTCTCCATCATCACGATGGAATAGCACAACCTCTCCCCGAAACTCTCCATCATCACGATGGAATGGCACAACCTCTCCCCGAAACTCTCCATCATCACAATGGAATGGCACAACCTCTCCCCGAAACTCTCCATCATCACGATGGAATGGCACAACCTCTCCCCGAAACTCTCCATCATCACGATGGAATGGCACAACCTCTCCCCGAAACTCTCCATCATCACGATGGAATGGCACAACCTCTCCCCGAAACTCTCTATCATCACGATGGAATAGCACAACCTCTCCCCGAAACTCTCCATCATCACGATGGAATGGCACAACCTCTCCCCGAAACGCTCCATCATCACGATGGAATGGCACAACCTCTCCCCGAAACGTTCCATCAACACGATGGAATGGCACAACCTCTCCCCGAAACTCTCCATCATCACGATGGAATGGCACAACCTCTCCCCGAAACGTTCCATCAACACGATGGAATGGCACAACCTCTCCCCGAAACTCTCCATCATCACGATGGAATGGCACAACCTCTCCCCGAAACTCTCCATCATCAAGATGGAATGGCACAACCTCTCCCCGAAACTCTCCATCATCACGATGGAATGGCACAACCTCTCACCATAAGCGTTCTTCTCCCTAACACACAAACACCCAACCCAAATCCACACACTCAAAATTCCAATGACCCGCCAATATACAATTTGGTTGTATCTGGAGGAGTTTGTTGTTTGCGAAAACTGTTGTCCTTCAAATGCCACCATATTCTAGTAAATATATGTATTCCGAATGAAGGTGAATATGTTTGATTTCAGTGTTCTGGTACATAATACTCAATTCATAATCTCTGAACCCAGAGCCAATTCACGGTTTGTCCACCTAATCTAAAGACCACAATTCATAACAGTGACATTTTCAGTGTTATACGTTAGATAATAAAACCACTAAACATTATTTTCCTCTTCCCAGATCTTACAGGATGAACAATGACTACACTGAGGTCAGTCCCTCTGATCCCTCCATCGACACCTACACCACCCCGCTGTTCGCCGTGAAGGCCGAGATCGGCTACCAGCACAAGAAGCGTCGCTACGTCCGCAAAGATGGCAACTGCAATGTCCTGTTCCGCCATGTCCCTGAGGAGTGGCTCATGTACGTCACCGACATCTTTACTACGCTGGTGGAGATCAGGTGGAGGGTTATGTTCCTCATCTTCACCCTCTCTTACATTCTCTCCTGGCTCTTCTTCGGCATCCTCTACTGGTTGATCGCCCTGGCTAATGGCGACATGAAGGACCCTACCAACGCCCCTTGTATGTACGAGGTGAGGGACTTCACTGCGGCTTTCCTATTCTCATTGGAGACCCAGACCTCGATCGGTTACGGTTTTAGAGGGATGTCGGAGAACTGCATGGTGGCAATCATCGTCGTGACCGTGCAGGATGTCATCAGCTGTTTTATTGATACATTTGTCATCGGTATCGCTGTGGCGGAGATGGCATCGACACGGAAACTGACGCAGACGGTAGGCTTCAGCAACTGCGCTGTCATCAACCTGCGAAACGGACGTTTGTGCCTGTCATGGAGGATCGGGGACTTCCGCCGGCACCACATGGTGGAGGGGACGGCTCGTGCCCAAATCTTCCGCCCCACCATGCATGCCACGGGGAGGGTGGACGTCAACTACAAGGACCTGGAAATCAAACAGAGTGATATCCTTTTAGCCATACCAACCACCATCTTCCACATTATTGAGCCCAGTAGTCCACTCTACCGCATGAGCCTGGAGGATCTTCGGAAAGACGATTTTGAGCTTGTGGTGTCCTTCACCTACACGGATGACTCGACGGGCATCCTGCGCCAGACTCGCACCTCCTACACACCCGACGAGATCCATTGGGGACAGCTGTTCCAAGAGATGCTGAATGTAAACCTGGAGTACTACAAGGTAAACTATTCCATGTTCCACCACATTGCTAAGGTCCTGGTTCCGGAGGTCAGTGCTGAGGAGTACGATCAAATAAAGCTTCGGCGTTCCCCACGTCACTCCCCGCGCCCCAAGCGCCCGAGCATGGATGGCACACCCCCGATGGTGACTGTGGAACTGGTCAAAGGCACCACAGAACCTGAGGTACAGGCAGCCACGGTTGCTACTATCGCAGCAGTTTGTGAGGACCACGGACATTTGTGTCTTCCAAGGAACCCCATTCTGACGTAGGATGTTCTGCTGACATGGCGATACCAACACAATTTCATTGTAACTGGCCAATGGCCATTCAGAAACATGGCCATTGCAGTCTGCCTTTACTATTGTCCTGACTCAGCTCTGTAAGCTGAAGTTGCTTTTAAATGCTGAAAAGATAAAGTATTGTTTTTCCAACTAACAAGTACTTGGGTTTCTTGATAGATGAGTGTCTCACCTTTAAACCCCACATCATAGGTCATGTACTTGGGTTTCTTGATAGATGAGTGTCTCACCCGTTAAACATCGTAGGTCTTGTGAAAAAGCTTAAGCTCAAGTTGAGTTTATATTGTATGCCCCTGTGATGTCATTTCATATGCTGGACACTGTGTACCATGGGGCGTTCAGGTTTGTTACTAACTCCAAAGCCCTCACTCATCACTGTACCCTCTTTTTGAGAGTGGGCTGGTCTTCCTTAGCACTTCAGAGATGAAGTCATTGGTACATTTTTATTTATAATGCCACTGGCATTAAACAAAGCATGTGTGTCCATGTATGCTGATGATTCAACCATATACACATCAGCAACCACAGCTAATGAAGTAACTGAAACCCTTAACAAAGAGTTGCAGTCTGTTTTGGAATGGGTGGCCAGTAATAAACGGGTCCTGAACATCTCTAAAACTAAGAATATTGTATTTGGTACAAATTATTCCCTAAGTTCTAGACCCCAGCTGAATCTGGTAATGAATGGTGTGGCTGTTGAACAAGTTGAGGAGACTAAATTCCTTGGTGTTACCTTAGATTGTAAACTGTCATGGTCAAAACATATACAGTTGAAGTCGGAAGTTTACATACACTTAGGTTGGAGTCATTGAAAACATTTTTTTCAACCACTCCACAAATTTCTTGTTAACAAACTATAGTTTTGGCAAGTCGGTTAGGACATCTACTTTGTGCATGACACAAGTAATTTTTCCAACAATTGTTTACAGACAGATTATTTCACTTATAATTCACTGTATCACAATTCCAATGGGTCAGAAGTTTACATACACTAAGTTGACTGTGACTTTAAACAGCTTGGAAAATTCCTGAAAATGATGTACTGGCTTTAGAAGCTTCTGATAGGCTAATTGACATCATTTGAGTCAATTGGAGGTGTACCTGTAGATGTATTTCAACGCCTACCTTCAAACTCAGTGCCTCTTTGCTTGACATCATGGGAAAATCCAAGGAAATCAGCCAAGACCTTAGAAAAAGAATTGTAGACCTCCACAAGTCTGGTTCATCCTTGGGAGCAATTTCCAAACGCCTGAAGGTATCACGTTCATCTGTACAAACAATAGTATACAAGTATAAACACCATGGGACCACGCAGCCATCATACCGCTCAGGATGGAGACGCGTTCTGTCTCCTAGAGATGAACGTACTTTGGTGCGAAAAGTGCAAATCAATCCCAGAACAACAGCAAAGGACCTTGTGAAGATGCTGGAGGAAACAGGTACAAAAGTATCTATATCCACAGTAAAGCAAGTCCTATATCGACATAACCTGAAAGACCGCTCAGCAAGGAAGAAGCCACTGCTCCAAAACCGCCATAAAAAAGCCAGACTACGGTTTGCAACTGCACATGGGGACAAAGATGGTACTTTTTGGAGAAATGTCCTCTGGTCTGATGAAACAAAAATAGAACTGTTCGCCCGTAATGACCATCGTTATATTTGGAGGAAAAAGGGGGTAGGCTTGCAAGCCGAAGAACACCATCCCAACCGTGAAGCACGGGGGTGGCAGCATCATGCTGTGGGGGTGCTTTGCTGCAGGAGGGACTGATGCACTTCACAAAATAGATGGCATTATGAGGAAGGAAAATTATGTGGCTATATTGAAGCAACATCTCAAGACATCAGTCATGAAGTTAAAGCTTGGTCGCAAATGGGTCTTCCAAATAGACAATGACCTCAAGCATACTTCCAAAGTTGTGCCAAAATGGCTTAAGGACAACAAAGTCAAGGTATTGGAGTGGACATCACAAAGCCCTGACCTCAAATCCTATAGAAAATGTGTGGGCAGAACTGAAAAAGTGTGTTCGAGCAAGGAGGCCTACAAACCTGACTCAGTTACACCAGCTCTGTCAGGAGGAATGGGCCAAAATTCACCCAACTTATTGTGGGAAGCTTGTGGAAGGCTATCCAAAACATTTGACCCAAGTTAAACAATTTAAAGGCAATGCTACCAAATACTAATTGAGTGTATGTAAACTTCTGACCCACTGGGAATGTGATGAAAGAAATAAAAGCTGAAATAAATCACTCTCTCTGCTATTATTCTGACATTTCACATTCTTAAAATAAATTGGTGATCCTAACTGACCTAAGACAGGGAATTTGTACTAGGATTAAATGTCAGGAATTGTGAAAAACTGAGATTAAATGTATTTGGCTAAGGTGTATGTAAACCTCCGACTTCAACGGTAGATTCAATGGTTGTAAAGATGGGGAGAGGTCTGTCCGTAATAAAGAGATGCTTTGCTTTTTTGACACCAAGTCCTGCAGGCTCTAGTTTTGTCTAGTTTTGTCTTATCTTGATTGTCCATTCGTGTGGTTGCTGGGAAAGACAGTTAAGCTTCTGCTGGCCCAGAACAGAGCGATACGTCTTGCTCTTCATTGTAGTCAGAGGGCTAATATAAATACTATGCATGCCTCTCTTGGCTAAGAGTTGAGGAGAGACTGACTGCATCACTTCTTATTTTTATAACAAACATTAATGTGTTCAAAATTCCACATTGTTTACATTACACACAGCTCTGACACACACACTTACCCAACCAGACATGCCACCAGGGGTCTTTTCACAGTCCCCAAATACAGAACAAATTCAAGAAAGCATACAGTATTATATAGAGCCATTATTACATGGAACTTCCTTCCATCTCATATTGCTCAAATGAACAGCAAACCTGTTTTCAAAAAAACTGATAAAGCAACACCTCACGGCACAACGCCTCTCCTCTATTTGATCTAGATAGTTTGTGTGTATGTATTGATATGTTGGCCACGTCTGCCTTTTCAGTTCTGTCCTTGAGCTGTTCTTGTCTATTAATATTCCGTATTTTATCATGTGTCATGTTTTGTGTGGACCCCAGGAAGAGTAGCTGCTGCTTTCGCAACAGCTAATGGGGATCCTAATAAAATACAAAATAAAATAGATTGTTAACATCAATGAGACTAACCTGGTAAAAGGAAAAGTTAAAATAGAATAAAATACAAATGAACTCGTGGAATATTTGACAATGTTTTCACAGGCAACAGTAAGAGCAGGCTGGCATTCTGCACAGGTTAGCCACTTAGAAGTAGTCTGCTAAATGTCATATAGTATATATTATTATAGTCCCTTAATAGGGTGGGTCTGGTACAGGTTCCAACCAGCATTTCCGCTTATAAATTGATCTGTGTACACCGTATACCGAAAAGGCTTGCATTCAGCAATAGCCCGAGTTCCCACAGACTCAGGAGTATATCTCCTTAGCCTATGACTCAGGCTGTGAAATCTGACACTACTTGAAGCTGGGATTTCCCGCCTACCGTTTCATTCGCTCTTCTGACTGTCCATCAACTCCTTGCTGAACGATACATCAAAGCCACTGACAAAGCACATGCCTCCAATCCTGACATCCTAGCGCAGCAGAATAGAGTTATTTTTGTCGCTCTAGCACAAGGATGGGCAACTTAGATGAGGGTGGGGGCCAGTTCCCACATCCACATCCACACCCAGAGAGCCTTTTGGGGGCCCTAAGCAAAATGTTGTTGCCTGCAATTCTACACATTTAGCCCTGACTTATGCCATGTTAATAGGAGATCTGAGTGAGAGTGACTTATAAAATCAATGGGGGCCCACTGTGATAGCTGGTTAGACTAATTTACCAATCTAAAAAACACATTTGTTGACATGGGCTAATTGAATGACTGTCAGTGACTGACATAATCTGCTGATGCACAACCCCCCCAAAAAATAATAATATTGAAATTGATCCGAGGGCCTACAAAAGGTGGGTCACGGGCCACCAGTTGCCCATCCCTGATCAAGCACATTCAGAGATTGATTTATAGCCAACATTATCAAAGTAATCTAAAATCATTCAAAGATTTTAAACAAAAAACACTTTCTGTTTGTCATAGACGGACAAGCCAGAGCCCTGTCCGATGTTCAGAAGGGTGGCGGCAGAAGTTTTAATCAAGAGAGACCTTTAGAAAATATGCAAATGTTTCTTTAACACTAAACTTATAAATATGTACAGTATTTTACAGTTATAAGGAAGGTGAAATCTTATAGTTAACGATTTTATAATTTGACTGTACTGTATTTAGAAAGCATATACGTAAGTCATTTCAAGCCTTATTCTTAACATACGTTTTGTTGAATATTTCATCAAATATTTGTACTGTGTACATATTTGAGCTTGTGTCCTTAAAAGTGACTACACCTCAGTAATTTATAACTAGTTATTGTTTATGGCCCTCTCATGATAAATAATTACCTTTGGGATTACATAGATTACATTTCAGATTACATGTTAGATTATATAGTTTAGATTACATCTAACAGGCTAACATTCTAACTTCTGCTGTCGTGTTGCTGCATTTCATTGCCTTATTGTCAAACTTAGTATCTATGATGGAGTCACAGTATAACACAAACAATATTACAAAGTCTGCTCCTCAATATGATAAATAAGATACGGAAAGAAAAGAGATGCAGAAGACAATCATGATTTTGGGAAGGTTTTACAGTAACTAATACATAAGAAAAGGAGAACTACTGTAATCTCCAACAGAAAGTACTGTACAAAGACCCATTTATTTTTAAAATGTGTTTTGATGTGTGAGATAAAATGCTGTTTTATTTTGTAAGTGTTTAGCAAAATCTGTATGTGTGTAAATTGAGTAAAACTAAAACCACAGTGATGTACTGACATTTACTGCATTTCTATACAATTTCAAACTCTAAAATGCTATTTGGAGAACAGCAAAAACAA